AATTCTTTCCCTATAAAGTTATATATATGGCCTAGGGTCATAAAATTTTTTTCTTATATTTCATAAGAGTCAAAAGTATACATGCCAGAATTGCAATGTGGGAAGTCAGAAAACAAATGATAAACTAGAAAAACAATGCCAGCTGCCAGCATCTAGCCTATTGTAATGGAGTTGTTGACCCATGTCCTTTGTAAGGAGTGCAAGCCTAGCTGTCCCAACTAAAGGCAGACAGAGGATGTGGTCAACTCCAAGTACACCATGTGGACCCAGAAGTTCTACCTCTAACCAGTCTCCTTATAAACCAACTCCTGTGTACGAAGATTGGAACACTCCAAGTTATTATTTATGGCATTGCTCAGAGTAAGGAGAGATTAGAAGTCTGAAATTTCACCATTGGGGCGCTAGTTCAATCTGTTTTTACATTTATCCATTTATTTTCTGTGGGCAAAGGGTGTGTGTGCTTGTACTATAGTGTACTTGTAAAGGTTAGAAGACAATTTCCAGAAGTCTGTGTTCTGGGATTGAACTCAAGTTTTCAGGTTTGGCAAACACTTTTACCTGCTAAGCCTTCTCACCAGCGCTGGGATATGGAGAGGGGTTGATTAAATGATTTGTGGAACATTTGTTCCCTGGGAGGTTATGCTTTCTTCAGAAGGAATGCAAGGCCCTAGGTGCTCCTCTAGAATAAAAACCAAGATGTGTTATCATGTAGAAAGGCAGGAGAGAATAAGTTTGCCATAGAACGCACTACAGAGAATAAGACAGGGGTAGTGTGTCTTTCTGTTTGCATATTCACCAATAACCTTGAAGAAATCCACAGCTTATAGCAAGACTATTGCTTCCCAAGAAAGGAGCCAAGAGGCTAGAGCAGAGCAGGAGTGAAGCTTATCAGGCTTCTGTGTAGCCCCCTGAACTGTGCCATTGTAATACTTGTGGTTTAACTGTAGAATAACATCTTGTAGAAGGGAACAAGTGAGGATATTTTCACACCTACCGTACTTGGGCATTTTTCCAATCACATACCTATCAAGAATACCCTGTGTGTCTCAGCAAAAACAAAATTCAGCCTAGATCATGAGCAGGTATTATTAGGAAGGGTAGCAGTGAATCTAGAAATTGGCTTAAGAAGTTGTAGTGATGTATAATAATGTATTGACTATAATAAAGAGATTTTTTTTTTATGTTTCACAGGCATGTAAGTCCCTGTAGCTGCAATAGCAAATCTCATAGGGAAAAAGGAAAAGGCCAGTAACTTTGGGTGGAGCAGGCCATAGCCAGGGGCAGATTGAAGGGTAGAGTATCTTGTAGAATTTTAGTTATAGTTACTGCGGCTGATAAATGCCTGTGGAACTTCTTGATTTATTTTCATTATGAAGCAAAAGCAGAGGTCACTACAGAGAGAGAAGGGCAACAGTGTTTTCAGCAGCACCAAAGACAGCATGATGCCTGGGCCTGCATGATGCCTGGACGTGGGCTCAGTCTGTGTCCAGGTGCCTTTTGAGCATTTCTGATTAAGCATTAGCTGCTGTTGCTCCAAGGAGGTGAGGGCTCTCTAGTTACCAGTACTGTGGTTTTCCAGATGCCAGAAGAGAGGAGATTCAAAGCAGTCATGTTCTGTGGGCGGACACAAAAGAGAAGGTCTACTAAGCCACAGCTGGGAAGAAAAGGAAAAGTGGGTGGGATGGTGAAGGGGCAGGAGCAGTGGGTGTTGAGGGTCGGTCTGGTGCTGTGTATGCTAATTACTGGCCCCCACAGTCTGCTTGCCGCCCAGATGAGTACATTTTCACATATACCTGTCCTTCTCATGAAAACCTGACCTAAGAAATTATTCCTGATTGACCAATAAAAAGCCTATACCTGGGCAGGGCCACAGATCGATGTGGCGAAGGTTCACGAGCTTTGGAAACAGAGGATCACGGGAAAAGGAGAGAGGTAAGGTACCAGAGGAGGAAGAAAGCAGCGAACCTGATGGGTTAGCATGGAGAGGAGCACAGGGCCGGATCAGTGTGGATAGAGGAAAGTGGCCCAGAAGAGAAAATAAGTATTTATGACATTGTGGATGGGAGGTAGCCCAGACAGAAATTATTAGAGCAGATGGCGTGGGATGGGGGATGGGGGGGGGGTAAAGGTAGCTTAGGAGGTAATATCGGCCATGCCCCTGGTGAAATAAGGCAATTCTAAAATCCATCAGGTGCCTTTTATTGATTGTTATAGTGGGTTAGATAATACAGCTGTAATAATTATAGAAGCTAATAATAAACATTATCAGACTCTACTTTTAAATTAACCACAACAAGTGGGTGTGGCTTTAAGTGAGGATGACGGATTAAATTAGCCTTCCCGGCAGTATCCCACAAATGAACAGAGCTGCTCAGAGCATACTCCTTTGCCTGGGGAGGGATTCCCAGACCTCCTGTGTTTATTGCTAGAGACATGGAGCTGATGGCTTCCATTAATGAAGACAGACTGCACCTGCCTTCTTGTGTCTTCCCTCCTCTCCTGGGGAGATCGACAGTCCAGGCAGCTGTCCTGGTAGATACAACACATCTGCACTTCGGGTAGAGGGTGGACTGCAGAAGCAAATGGCTCCCAGCCCTACCATAAAGTAGAACTCACCTCGTCCTTGCCTACGTCTGCACAAAAGGTCTGACACCTGCCTCTTGAAAGAGCAAATGTCATCACACCAAACTGTATTCTAAACAAAAGAATATAGAAACTTAGGTCTGAACATTATAGGTGATCTGGTTACCTTTACTTACAGGTGAGCAAACTGGGGCCCAGGGTCATGGTTTCCCACCTTTCCTGGATATCCCAGCTGTGGCTGTGATGTCATTTGAAGCTTAAAAGCCTGTCTGTAGAGTCAGCATGTGGTTTCCAACCAGAGGAAGACTGTCTCCTTGGCACATTCCACTTCCAAAATCTGTTCTTGGATGTGTTGTTATTTTTCATTGTGAAGTTACTCATGCTTCACTCCCAGGTTACTTCCTAGATCCATTTCAGTGATCAAGTGAACAATGGTATTTCCAAGTTCTGTTTAACTTTCTTATTAAGAAAGAGTTAGTGGTTAAAAGCTTCCAAAAATACTCTGTGAAAAATGATCAAATGTTGATGTTACACGATAGGATTAGTATACATAGAAGCATATCTCCATCTGCCCTGGATTCTAGCAGGGAATGGCGTAGTAATTAATCAACTGTGTGAATCAAATTAACAGAAGAACCAAAATTCTGGCAACATTCTGAATACTTAGCCTCCAGAGAGTAAAATACATTGATGGCAGAGGAATTTGAAAAGGTTTCATGGGTTTTGCATTTAAATATCATAAAAGACATCTTCGAGCCAGGCATGGTGGTGCACTCCTGTAATTCCAGCACTCTGGGAGGCAGAGGCAGGTGGATCTCTGTGAGTTCGAGACCAGCCTGGTCTACAGAGTGAGTCCAGGACAGCCAGAGCTATGCAGAGAAACCCTGTCTTGAAACAAAACAGAACAAAAATAAGAGCACATCTTCACTGTGTTATTTTTTTTTTCAGTCTTGATCATTGTTGGTTTAAAATAAAATGTTAGTTGTTTAAAATCAAATGCTAGTTATCCTGTGGAAGACTAATGGGAAAATCTGCTTGTGTTTGCCATGTTCATGAGAATCTAACATAGTATAAACAAGAATCCAAAAATGAAGAAGATTGACAGGAACTATTGAAGGAGAAGAGAGCCTTCATCTGGTTTATATATATATAAAACCCAGCACAAGGTCAGCTTCTCAGATCAGCAGTTCCATTTCTAATTCCACAGCAGGGGTGGAACTGTGTAGAACGCAGGTTCATTTGATGGCGCTGTTTTGGGACACTGTGGACGCTTTGAGAAGCTGGGCTAGATGGAGGAAGGAGCTCTCTGGAACACAGGCCTTGAAGCATGTAGCCTGGTTTCTTTTTCTGTCCTGTTTGTTCTTGTTGCTCCTGGAAATGTGCACAAGTAGCCTCACTTTCCTGCTCTCACAGCCATGGGCAATGCCTGTGCCTCTCCAGCCATTATGGACTAAAGCTTTTATCTGTGAGCCAAAGTCAATATTTCTTTGCTTCAGATACTTGTCAGGCACTTGATTACGGAAGCGAAGAAAGTGACTAATGTAGATGGCCGTAGCCACCATTCATAACAGTGACCACTCCAAGCTGCCTCCCACATGCAGAGTTTAGGAGAGTAATTAAAAGATAAATTACAGTTTGTCCATATATAATATACCATATAATATTTTGTAATATTAAAAGAGTATGCTGGTGAAAGTCCTATACACTGTGATACATTATTTTCTGATATTATACTTAATTTAAATCCTCATATAATACATAGAATCCATGTAAATTTTGTGTTGAATGATGTTAGAAGAATATTATGTATATAATATGTGTTTCTGTGTCTATGTATGTGCATGATACTCTAAGTCACAAAACTTAGAGTATCTGTGTACACATGTTGGTCTGAGAGGATGTCCATGTCTGTGTTTATAAATGGTTGTGTCTATAGATTTGTGGGCATGTGTTATAAGTGTGAGGAGAATGTATCCACATTCTCTGTACATGGTACACACGTGGAGACAGAATTCAGGAGGAACTGGGTACAAAAATATTGGAAGATTTTCGTTACATTATGATAATAAAGTATATTATATGCACTGTTTATATTGTTTCATAGTCATGAGTTAGTTATATTTTATGTCATCTTACAAAAACTCATGAGTTTACATTCTGACAAACTTGATGTGAATTTAAGAAAGTGTAGATGGTTCACTTGTCATGACGACTGGTCATATAGCTCTTGCTTTCCTAACAAAATACTTGGCTTTTTAAATTCAATGTTTATGACAGTGACTTGGTTTTATTGAGTTACTTGATTTCTTGTCGTCACTGAATTTTATTGGAGAAACAACACTAATGTGATCAGGGCAAATAACTGTCTGCTTTCACTATGTAATATTTACTAGAGCATGCTTGGCCCCTCTTTACAGATGGTGACATTAAGATTCAGGCTGAGCGCCGGGTCTACACGGTGAGTTTGCCTCCTCAAGGGTATATCCCTTGTTTGCCAGAACCGACCAGCTGTGCCAGTTCCGAAAATGCTTCCAGTGGTGGTGACACAGAAGGTAAAAAGTATGGGCAGGAGGAAAATTGAGTATTGTTTCCATCATTATTTTCTAATATAACATCATTTTTCAGTCTGGTAAATTAGCTTCTAAACTTAAATTTTGATGGGTATGTGTAAGAATAATATTGCATAATCAATTATATAGTGGGCTATATTCACAGCCAGTAAAAATTATTATAAACTTGAAATAACAGAAGAGAACTTAGACAGGGAAAGTTAGAGCTTGGATAGGATTATGAGCATTTGTTAATGAATGAATGATCTGGAATCAAATGCATCACAATGCTGATATTTGTCTTAGTTTAGTAGGACTTTTGCCATGTTTTCTAAGCTTTTCAATTTTTCTAAAAATTACAAAATCAAAGAATGAACATATTTTGTATCTCTTTTGAGAAAAAATTAGTCTATTACAATTGTGTTTATTGTTGAATGTTTTATTGAAAGACGGTATTCCAATACTTACACAGAGCATTATTGAGGTAGAAGTGTTAGTGCTTCCAAATGTTATGCTTTTATCTTAAAATTGAAATGGTTGGTTTTTTTTTTCCCTTTGAATATTTAATTTAAGACTGTTTAAAGAGGAACTTATAATCTTTAAATAAAGATCCTCTGCCCCAGGATGATTCTTTTCAAGTATAGATTAAGAAAGTCTGTACTCTAAATCTTAGTTAATATGAGTATCAAGAAATTGTGTTTTAGTTTTTCTAACACATTGATCTTTCTGGTTTCCTAATTAAAAAATCAGAAACAATAAAACCAGAGTTGGAATAACTTAGAAATCATATAGTCACTGTTTCAAGTCTGTTGACACTTTTGAAATACTAATTGTCAGATAAGTATTTACTTAGGTGCTTATGGAAAGTGATTACTTTGGTGAATATGTCATTGTGAACATGTGTGTTGAGTTCATTTGTGTGCTGTGATGTGCAGTTGGTTCTCATTTATGCATCCCTGTATTCAGTTCATTCACTTACATGCCTCCATGTAGTTCTTTTGTCCTATGTAGTTGACCCAGGTGCTGTTGTTTGCAGTTGACTCTTCTGGGATTTTATACCCGTTTGACACTCACTCACACACATGGCATGGACTTGGCCTCATTCTCCTGCTGTTGTGTAGATGGCTCTCACGTGCCATCATATACATTTAGCCCTCATTCACATATCATTGCATACAGTTAGCTCTCTCCCTCCGTGCACTTAACCCTCCCGTGTCCCTGTATAAAGTTTGCTGTCATTTCTGTGAGGTTGAGTACAGTTAACTCTCACTCGGGTTTTTATAGGCATTTGGTTCTCGAGTGCTGCTGTTACGTAATCAGTGTTCTTTCCTGTACTGCTGTCTGTAGTTGCTGTTGCACAGTTATTTACTCTCAGCCTGCTGTGTTCAGTTGGCTCCACTGCCGGTGCTCCTGTGGGCAGCCTAGTCAAGAAGTGCTAATTAAGAAAGCCTCACTTTGCTACGAACACGCAATTCATCCTTCCTGAGCTAATGGTTGGGGCTGTGCTAGGGTGAAATTCTTTTAGGAATTTGAAACATGTTGGTGCCAAGTTGGCAAATATGTCTTTTTACAAAGGTTTTTCTGTGTGATTGAGTGTCCCTGGGCCCTTAAGTAGTTACCCTCTTCCTGTGGCCTACAGCTATTGCCACCTCCTGCAGACAGGCTTCTGAGAACTGTTGTAGCCTAGAGAAAACAGAATCAAATTGAGTCCTGAAATCTAGGCATTAGAATTCATTCCACTGAAATTGCAATGAAATTAGCATCAATGGTATTATTCCTGAAGCTTTTAATAGTTATTACAAGTTACATTTTTAGTTGGTTGTTAGTCCAAGTGTTTCCACAATTCATTTTCTTCTCTGCTTTATAGCTCCTGTGAAGTAAATATGTCACCTTTGCTGTAGATGAAAAGTGTTTTCTTCTTCTTCTTCTTCTTCTTCTTCTTCTTCTTCTTCTTCTTCTT